GGGAATTCCCGCCCCCCAAGAAGAAGTACACAGGATTAGAAAAGCAAAGGCAGAAACTGAATACAAACTGGCAACAGAAATCAAAGACAATAAAAAGTCCTTCTTTAGATGCGTAGAAAGCACGAAACAAGGGAAATGTGGGGCCCCTGTTGAACGCAATGGGACAGCTGATAACTGACACTCAGGAGAAAACCAAATTCCTAAATGAATACTTCCTGTCAGTTTCATAGTTTCATAGTTTGTAGGGTCAGAAGGGACCTTGACAGATCATCAAGTCCGACCCCCTGTCATGGCAGGAAAGAGCACTGGGGTCAAACGACCCCAGCAAGGTGTTCATCTGGTATTCCACCAGACCAAGAATATTAAGTTGCCTGACAGGAAGCAGGATGGAAAAGTGTGGGGTGATCACTCACCTATAATCAGTGAAGATCTTGTGAGGGAATACCTAGAGAGCCTGGTTATCTACAAGTCAGCAGGACCAGATGAACTACACCCAAGAGTGTTGAAAGAACTGGCTGATGTCATTGTATGACCAATGACAAAGCTATTTGAGAACTCATGGCACTTGGGTGAGGTCTCAGAAGACTGGAAGAGGGCCAATGTGGTGCCTATCTTCAAGGAATGAAGGAAGCAGGACCCAGAGAATTATAAGCCAATCAGCCTGACCTCAATCCCTGGAAAAAATTATCAAGGAATCCATCAGTGATAGGCTAATACAGGGGCGGGCAATTATTTTGGGCAGAGGGCTGCTTACTGAGTTTTGACAAGCCATTGAGGGCCGTATGACAGGCAGCCAAGGGAAGATGAATATTAATTTTCTAGATTTTTTAGGGGCCCCATGGGCCAGACAGAACGGCCTGGTGGGCTGCATTTTGCCCACCCCTGGGCTAACAGAAGGCAGTATTCTAAAACCCAGCCAACATGGCTTTGTTGCAAGTAGGTCATGCCTGAACACCTCATTTCCGTCTCTGATCAGGTAACTTGTCACCTGGATAAGGGAGATGAGGTCGACATCATATACTTGGATTTCAAAAAGGCCTCTGACTTGGTTTTCCATGATGTCCTCATGGTTAAATTGAGAAATTACGGCCTCAACAACTTAGCGTAGCTGGGAAACTGGATCCGAGGTCAGACCCAGAGAGTGTTAATAGACAGAACCAAGTCAACATGGCTAAGGGTGACTAGTAGTGTCCCTCAAGGCTCAGTACTTAGACCAGTGCTTTTCAACATTTTCATCAATGATTTGGATACGGGTGTAGAAAGCGCATTGGCAAAGTGTGCAGATGACATCAAGTTATGGGGGAGTGCGGTCACGCTGGAAGACAGGCTGAGGATACAGGCTGACCTGGACAGGCTTGTAAAGTGGGCAGACCTAAACCTGATGATATTTATCACTGAGAAACATAAAGTGCTCCATCTGGGGAGAAGTAATCCACAACATACTTCCAGGCTCAGTGGTGCTACACTAGCCAGCACCACAACTGAAAGAGATCTGGGGGTCACAAAATGAACATGAGCCACCACTGCGATGCTATAGCCAGCAAAGCAAACAACATGCTGGCAACGATGCATCTCAAGTAAGACTAAGGATGTCTCCTCTGGCTCTACTCAGCATTGGTGAGGCTGCAGTTGGAGTTCTGTGTCCAGTTCTGTGCACCACACTTCAAGAGGGATGTAGAGAAGGTGCAAAGAGTCCAGAGGAGGGCCACACAAATGATTAGAGGTCTGGAGAACAGACCATATGAGTAGAGGCTGAAGGACATGAGACTGTTCAGCCTGGAAAAGAGAAGACTATGGGGGGCACTTGGTGGCAGCCTTTAAGTATATTAAGCAATTGGGGTAGGGGCTGACCATAAAAGAAGCTTGAAGCCAGCAATCTTACAACCTCAACATATAGGGAAATATCTGGGTAAATCCTGGGTCCATTAAAATCAAGGGACAAAACTCCCCAATGACTTCAAAGGGGTCAGGATTTCATCTTGTTTCATTTAAACTACTGGTAAACTTAGATGAATGGCAGAGTGGAAACAAGATAGACTAGAGTTGGTCATTTTTTCCCCATTGAAACATTCGGCAAAGCTTTTTTTTTTTTTTTTTTTTTATCAAAACAACCTGGTGAAAAACTAGTATTTTTTTTTTTACATTTTCTACTTTTCCACAACCCCTACCAAAAA